GTGAAACTGATGAAGATGTTTTCTGGTGTTTCTATTTGCATGTGTATTATTCATTTGCAGTGCGTTGAGCTCTCTCGGACACCGTAAAAATCACCCAAAAAAATAATCATAAAAGTGGTCCAATCAACTTTTGCTCTTGGAATTCAAATGGACCACCTTTATAAGAGTTTTCCTTTTGTAGCTTGACAGTGGTCATTTTGAGCTTTTGTTATTTGGAAAGAGGGGAAAAATAGCTTACAGTAGCTACTGGATCAGGACAATGACAGAATTTTTGGGTGAAACTGTCTTTAACTTTTGAGTGTTATTCACCTCCCCTTGTGCTCGGCAGATTGCTTCATATAAACAGCAGATTGCATCACTTGGAAACTTTGATCAAACAGTCTGTCACAGAGCAACAAACAAGCCGGGGGCAAGAAATTATCATCAATATCTGATGGCCCTCTGGAATGCAGGTTTAAATGATTAATACTGGCAGAGAGCTGCAAAAGTGCTGCGCTTTCCCTAACACAGCAGGAGACATTGTCTGTGATGTGTTTATCTGATGCCAATATACTTTTTGGGTGGTTAACATGAACATCCGAAAATAACTTTTATTACTGTATATATGCTCCATGCATTGCTATTTCAAACTTTTCTGTTCGCATGTTTGGATAATTGCATGTTTCATACATTTCACAAAGGAAAGGGGTATGTGGAATCCTGGCCCAGTTGGGACACTTTAAGCTTAAAGTAACTTTTTTTATAATCAAAAATCTAAACATTATAATCAACTCACTTTAGTATACTTTTGACAGTTTTGACATTTAGTAGATGGCAGCATTCAATGCAGAGTGGGTAATAAAGCATGCTGAAATATTCCACATCCACAAGGGGGCACTGAAACACCCAAAGGGGCCAATCATTGCTTATTAAAAAATTAATTGAACAGCCCTTCTGTAGGCTGGTATTGAACACCTCATTATTGGAGCTTATGTAATCAGCTTTCAGTGTTACACTTATTAAGACAGACCGACAGGTAGCGTAAAGCACGGCTGCTACTGTTTGTTAACACTGGCTTTGTGAACTAATTACCAATTACATCTAATATACTGTACCTCACTGCTGTCACGCATACCCATAGTTGCGGTGTGTGACAAATAGAGTCGCTTAATATACAAGCCTGCAGAATGGGTGTTCTTGGGGAAGTACAACAAATATATATATATATATATATATATGAAGAGTTCAGATGCAAAAGCCTCTAAATGCCATTTGAAATTTTCTTCTTTAATGATGATTTTTATCAAACTTGTATATTTAAGTTCAGTAATTTCACTTAAATGCCAATGATAATTACCTATTAATTGTTATTTAAGTGAAATTACTGAACTTAAATATACAAGTTTGATAAAAATCATCATTAAAGAAGAACATTTCAAATGGCATTTAGAGGCTTTTGCATCTGAACTCTTCATATATATATATATATATATATATAGACCATTTCACAAGATGTAAACACTGGTCCAGAAGCACTTCCTGTTTCAGTTTGTAACTGTTTTCTTTATTTCACATGTAAAGAAACATCTTAAAGATGTTTGTTTAACTTTTTGATTCAGTTTTAAATGGTCTGTTAGTTGTATTTTATCCCAGCTTTTATGTAGTGTTAAAAAACTGAAACAGGAAGTGCTTCTGGACCAGTGTTGTTTACATCTTGTGAAATGGTCTATATATATGCACTCTAAAAATGCTGGGTTGTTTTAACCCAACTTTCGGTCAAATATGGACAAACCCAAATGTTGGGTTAAAAATGAAAAATGTAATTAAAAAAAAATACAGTTGAAAGTGAAAGTTTAAGTTTGGTTCAATTTTTTACATTTTTAACATTTTAAAAATTACATTTTTAACCCAACATTATATTTAAAACAACCCAGCATTGTTTAGAGTGCGTGTATATGTGTGTGTGTGTGTGTGTGTATATATATATATATATATATATATATATATATATATATATATAAGAGATCTCTTCTGCGAGATCTCCCATAATTGCAACATTATATATATATATATATATATATATATATATATTATAGTTTTATATATATATATATATATATATTATATATACTTTTATTATAGTTTTATTGAAATTATGAATTAGCCTTTATTTTATATTATGTTAGGTTTTATTTTATATTTAGTTTTCATGTTAATTTTAATTTTTGATGTGCATTTGTCTTTTTTTATATTGCGATTTAGGTTTAATTTATAGTTAATTTAGTTGTTTAAGTCTTCAATTAATATTAATATTTATTTTTTCAGCTTTATTTCAGTTAACAGAAATGTTTTTAATAGTTAATAGATTCAGATTTATGTGTCTGTATGTGTGTGTTGTATATAGTGCAAATAATTTAGCCATAGCTGAACCTTTTGTGACTCAGAGAAACGTCTATTTAGCAGGGCAACCATCTGCTCACATGTCATAAATCTTTGAAAATGATTCTATCTCAGTGACCAATTGATATTGCGATATAAACTGCAAAGTTACTAGAGATTTAAAAATGAGATGCTGTGGAACAACTGCTTTGGAAAGCAGGCTATAGTATATTAGCATAACACAAGGGACATGTTTTGTGTAGTCGGCCTATAAATGCATTCAAAGCCACAGCCACTGTCATATCAGTCTTGTAAGTCTGTGAAATAGCCATTGTCTTATTTCAATGATTCAGTTTAACATCCTCAGCCTGCAATGAGAATGTGTTCAAGGTGCAAAGGAACCTTTGAAAGAATAACCTCCTGATTTTTCACTGTTATTTGGGTGAAAGCCTGATGGCATACTGAATAAGAGCAGATCAAATAAAACATTTAGGAGAACCAAAAGTTCAACCTCACTAAAGCACAAAGCAGGAAAGTGCATCAGTCTGGTGTCCAATTTAAAGTGATAGAAGTCATGGGCTCTGCAGAGCTCATGAATTTTTAAAGGATCGATATCTCCCCATACAGCTGCTACACATGCACAGTCCTCCTTAATTTCATATTCTTTAATGGTTTTTCTCAGTTTGCCCAATCTAGATTAAGATTTGAGAAATCTATCAGATACAAGCAGTGTGACACTTTCAGGCGGATAATTAGAATTTTGTGACGTGAATGTTATATATTGAAATCTTTGAATCTAAGATTTGTCTCAAAGAGTTATAATGACTTTTAAGGGAACAAAGAAACAAATGCAGGTTATTTATATATGACATGTTAAAAAAAGTGCTAATACATTCCAGGAGGACTCAGTATTGTTCATTTTGTTATGAGCTGAGGTTAATATCTTTCTTGTCCACCGGATTTGTTTATGACAGTTTGCTTGCTTGGACATTGTTTAAACTTGGCAAATGCGAGAACCAGGGTCGTGATGGCTCGAAAACTCAGATAGGCTTAGTCATGTGGCATGGAACATTCACACAAACAAAATGCATCACTAATTCTGTTGGTGGAACTGGACCAGAGAGGACAAGCATGACAGGAAGGAGGGTCCGCAATTTCGCTTGCAGTCATTATACCTCCGGAAATCAGAATGTAAATACATGGTACTGCCACTCAAGACTGCTGGGAAAATTAAAGCATGTCATAAACATTGATAAGAGAGTCTATTTGTGTGTGTATTTTTCCTTGGGTGTGGGCTTACTCTTATGCTCTTACATTATATAGTATGTAAAGTATATATTGCATGTTGTTACACGACTCTAATGAATACTTGATTCCTGGTTCTGATTCTTTAATTGCAGCATTCAGAACCATTAAAGCTATGGTATAATTTAATGTCTTCGACTGTGTCTGATAATAACCTCGGAAGACTTTACTGTTATTAGACTAGTAATATTGTTGCATGCGTTCGTTTGCTAGCCAATTGTTTTGTAGCCTGTGCTGTAGAATATTTTTCTCAATAGGCTAAGTAATTTATATTTTTTTCTTAATACAGCTAATAAATTTTATGTCTTCATATTTTATTATTATTATTATTATTTGTCGTTGTAATTTAATTGGTCACACTTAGGGTCCAATTTTCACTATTAACTAATCTACGACTTTTGCCTCAGTAAACTTCTTATTACTGCTTATTAATAGATAGTAGGTATCGCAAATCTTTTTTCGTGTCATTTGGTTCATTCAATGAACGAATTGACTCGATTGAAAAGATTCGTTCATTTTGATGAACGAGTTCGAACAGGAGAGTCACGAACGCGCATCACAGAACAGAGCAAGGCGAGCATTTGAGCTTATAAAACTTAAACTTTGTTATTATTATTTTTTTTTAATGAACAATCGTTTCGCTTGATAAGACCCTTATTCGTCGTCTGGAATCGTTTAAAGCCCTTTGAACAGTTTGCAGCTTGCACTGAAACTGAGTGCATTATGGGGATCCTGGAATGTTTTCATCAAAAACCTTAATTTCTTTTCGACTGAAGAAAGAAAGTCAGGGACATCTTGGTGAGTAAATTATCAGCAAAAGTTTTTTTCAAAAGGGAACTACTCCTTTATGGGATGTAGAATATGTCTTGCATAATAAGGTAGCCTATTAATATGTGCTTTGCAAGATTAAACAGCCAATATCCTAATATGCATGATAACAAGCAAATAGTGAGAATTGGACCCTAAACTGAAGAGTTACCTGAAGAGTTAAAATAAACCTTTATTATTTTGTTATAGCAGACTTTTTCGCAATATAAATCCGCAAAAACGGTAGGCTATTGTAAAGAAACTTTATCTCGCCAAAAGAACCTTTCAGCAACAGTAATGTTAGATTAAAAAACCAAATAGTTGTATTAGGCTACTAACTAGAACGTGTCCTTTCATTGTAGACTTTGAAACCCGAGGGAGCCGTTTAAACCCAGACCTGGAATTTCCTGAGGGCGACTGAAGCAATTACAGCCCGTTATATATCTGCATCTTGAGTGACCCCCAACTCCACACAGTCATTATTTCCATATCGCGTTGCTCTCACGCCCACTGAGAGAGGGAGCAGAGAGCTCATCCGGTGCATTGAGGGACGTCCAGGTTCTCATCTGAGCTCTGTACAGCATCAGCACCAGCCGCTGCGTGAGAAACAAACCGAGTCGCATCCCCGCGGAGAGCAGCGCCGCGTGCGCTTCATTCAATCTGGAGCGTCAGATGGTGCAAGATGCGCCGTTTCTTTGTCCTCCTCTACTCCCGGACTGAGCAAGTTAACACTGGAAGGGACCAATAGTAGTTGAGGGATCCGAGAAGACACGTTTGAACTGCACTGATCGGCTCCTGCAGGACGCGCGCTTGGATTGTTGTCCCCATATCATCATTCCCGTGGATTTCCTGCTGGAAAACTAAACACGCGCGTCGCGGTTTCCAGAGAAAGAAAGCGAGTCGTAGCTGTTTAAAACGTGTTAATTCGGCTTCTTTCTCGCGAGGGAGGAGCAATGAGAGCGTAAACAACACTGGGTGGCTTTGTTTCTGAGACACAGACCCGAGGAAGATCACATTGACATGTCTTTCAGTGCCGGATTTGGAGATACCGTTATTTCTCCACTAACTTAGGGAAGTGTTGCCCGTGTCTCTTTGACTTTGCGTTACACCTCAATTCTACTTTTCTAACAAACACATGCAGTTTTCTTCACATCTTCTCCCTACACGGTGGAGTGCTTGGGATGCTTTCATCGGAAGGGCGTTTTTGATTCGCGTCTATCGCGTTTGGAGTGAAGAAAGATCCGTTTAAACCCGTTGCCTGGGCATCATTTTGTGGAGTTACAGCGACCCACGTGGAAACACGGACTCGAACAAGGAGGACAAGATGGGCTGTTGCAGTGGTAGATGCACGCTGGCATTTATATGTGGCATGCAATTGGTAAGTGATCATGCTTAAGTCATTTCTACCTGCGTTGATGGTGATAGTTTATGGATTTGAACCTACAACCTTTTTAGGTTAAGATCTTTCATTACTAATTAAAAACAGGTTAATTGGTGACTCAGTCTGATTTAGTTGGCTAAAACCTACTAAAAGTTCATAGAGGGTTTGAACCTACAGCCTTTCAGAATACTCACCGAGGTTTTTAATCTGAATTGGTTTCTGGACGCTAGTGCCTTGTTTTATAGAGATGTCACCAACTATGCAAAAACTGTAGTGAACCTGAGAACCAAGTGTCCACCTGACAAGTGGTCAGTGATACGGCACTAAGATGAATGTGGCCATGGGTAATCTTTGTGGAAATAATGTAGGGCTATATGTGGAAACCCTGCCTCGTTATATTACACCGGAGGGATGATGGTGCTCATAAAGGCAGGGCTTGTGTCATTAGCCTGGGGCCGCTATCATTTATGCTTATCTTCCCACTACCACGGGTCGTGACAGCCAATTATGAGTTGCTAAGCCAAGTCTCATTGACCTAAAGCAGAAAATGATTACTTATTGCATCTCCAGAGCTTAATAGGGATTTTGACTGTTTGAATTCTACATTTAATGTTTTCCAATCCAGTCCCATTTAAAAAGATGACTTCAGTCTGGTGTTTGTACAACAACATTGCGCTCTGTAAAGAGTCATTTCTCGTGTAACCTCTTCCCGGACTATCTCTATCACACCTTTTGAATCACTCTTTCGGTTCCAGTAATGGATAGTGGGCAGCGAGAGTCTCGCATGCCAACCAGCTGGCACGATGAATCAGACGTGCGTGATAGATCACATGACAACTGGCAAGCGTGACTACACTAATCCAAATGGACGTTTGTAGGTTAATGTATCACGCAGGTCATTAACTCGAAGAATCAGCTGTAGTGGGTGATGTCACCACCTGGTGTCTATTAATCAGACCTTACTCAGTGTTCATGACTAGAAGTCGCTCTTAGAGCGGGATGATGTCATAAGCATTCACTTTGAGCTGGATGATGTCATAGGCGAGCAAGTTACTTTTAAGTAGCCGTAGTCTTATGAGCGTTTTGTATATTTCAGAATTAGGGAGGGTTTTGTGCTGATTGGTGGGAAAAAACTTTTTTTATTTTTTATTTTTTTTCATTGGTGCACTGATCTGGGCTCTTTTTTGTCCTCTCTTGTCTTTTCCTTTCCTCATGTTTGCTCCTATTCTGCAAAAGAGTTAATTCTGAGCAATTGATTTATTCATTTCTGACAACATTAGTATGTGAGATATAATGGGTCATATATGAGATACTGTATACTGGGTTGATATTTCCTCCAACAACTTTTTTTATATACCACCAGAAATGAAATGTAGATCAGCCTGTAGTGTCAGAGTTATGGGGAAAAAAGAAAAAACAATGTCCAATGGCTGTAAACTCGTAATGCACCCAGCTCTGCTAAATTACCCGGCAGTTTTTATTGCCCAAAGGCAATAATACAAATAAAATGTCCATAGTTAAAGCATTTAACTTCTCTCTCTGGTGGTTTTTGTGTCTGGCATGTATAAATGCCTGTGGTTTAACAGTGTGGCCTGGAGGCCCAACATTCTGACATGGAAACAAAGAAAGGAATATTCTCAAGGGATGTGTTCATGGATATTGTTTAAAGATGCATTTATACGAAGGAAATCTGGTAAAATAGTTTGACTCTATTATGGCTGATGAAGAACTTGATAACCACTGTCAAATTGTCCTCTTAGCTTCAGCTTCTGACAGCCTCCCTATGATGCAAAATGTATACTAAGATGAATCCAGCTGGTGAGATCCGCCCGTTCCAATTGGCTGCCCGCAAGAGAACTTCTGGGAATCAGGCAAGCACAAGTTATTTATCACTTAGTCAGGAAGATTTGTTTACATGTTAGCAGATTGCTACTAATGTTGCAGAGTTTAGACTATAGTAGGAGTGGGCAATATTCTAACCCAAATCGGATAACGCTGTGAGTACATTTATTTCATGATAATGATATATATATATAGATAGATAGATTTTATTGTATCAAAATGTTTTATGTTATTGAAATGTAATAATTCTTGTCACCCATTTCATTATCAAAAACCAACTAATACTAGCCTAGTTAAAAAACAAAACAAAACAAAAAAAAAACAATTCAAGCTTACCGAAGGCAAGTAAACAGTCAGTGATAAAATAAGAACAAAGAAACTAATAGGACAATAGTATGAAACTAAAATAGATAAACTATTCTATATCTATTAAAAAATGTGCTAGGTGTACTGTGCTAGACCAACGGGGACTAGTCATGGCACTTGCATATTGTTGCCCTATTGTTGGTTTGATTACTTCTATTGCTCTACTCATCTCACACTCGCTTTGGATAAAAGTGTCTGCTAAATGATTAACTAATAATGTATATGTAATACAGACTCGTGGTGATTAAAACACTTCGATTGATTAAACATCTAATAAATACACGACTATGACAATATATGGTTTATCTGAGTTCTTCAAGCCTTCTCAGGTATTTACATGATAATAACGTATATTTATGCTTCAATGCTAATCGACTGTATAGAATACTATGAAATAATGTCTTGTGCCTTTTTCTGTGTAAGAAGCCAAATCATCTCACAGAACGATGCTCTACTGTCGCTATGAAGTGAGTAAAAACACGTTATTAGAGGGGTCATGAACTGGCTTTTATTATATTGTTGTCTGAGGTCAACTTATGACATTCGCTTGGTTTTTTACATTCAAAAACATCAAAATTAATAAGTAATAGGCAATTTTCTACCCTAGTTTTGAGCCTAGCTCAAAAATGCTCGGTTTTTATGGGCGTCTCGCACTGAAGACTTGGAAGTAAACGCCCACTGCTGTGAGTGGATAACAGTTTTGCATATTATAATGAGTTTCAACTCACCCGTCGATGCACTTGGGGGAAATTGTTTTGAAAACGTCCAATGTTGTAAAATGGCAACCGGAATGATTCGTCCATACATGTTCGACCCAGAGTCCGTGTGTTGCACAATTCCTGTCAGATTCAATATAGACGGCACAACACCGTTCTTTACTCTTAATCGGTCGGCAAATCCAGTCTTGTTTACAAAACAATCCTCAGTGAAATGAAGCGAACAGACGGACAATGTTTTACCTCATCAGCTGGAACGTCATGAAAAATAAAGTTTAACCATGCAGTCCTATTGGAATCCAGAGGAAGCATATGCAGCGACTGTCTTCTTCCACAACCAGGCGCTGCACAATATTTTGTATTGCTCGGTAGCTCGATCCGGTTTGTCATCACGAGCATAGCTGTCAACCCTCCCGTTTTTTCCGGGTTTCTCACGTATTTTAGCTGTCTTCCCGTTTGAGTATTTTCCCGTAAAATATACCGTATTTTTACTCTCTGATTGTGTGAGACGTACGGGCTCGGACAGATTCGGCTTGAAGTCGTTTATCCTCGGATGCGGTGCCGCGCGCGCTGGCCGGAGACACACTGGCTGCGTGGCGTGTCCGTTTTTATTGCACACTGCCTGCGTGACACGCGCGTCTCCAGAAAACGCGTGCATGCTAGAAATAGAACTGACGCCTATTTTTCACGGGACAGGCAAGCGTGTTTCTTTGCCTGGAATTTCTTTGCGTTTCCAGGCAAAAAAATAAATAAAAAATAGGAAACGATGTTTAGGCTAGCTGAATGTAATTTTGTACTCGAATACATATTAATACATTACATTTTGATGTTTGAAAGTCTAGGTTTTTACATAAATTCAGATATCAATGTAATTTAAACAAATAATAATTATTATAAATAGATTTTCAAATATATGAATAAAATATATTTTCTTTTTTTCCATTTGTTTCTTAAGCTCTTAACAATGTGATTACATGAAGAAGAAAAAAAAACTTGGGAAAAAAAAAAAAACGTTCTGGGCCTATAGGAGGATATAAAGATAGTGTGTCTTCTGAGTGATGGTCCACCATCAGGCTAAATAGGCTCTTTAAAGCTACACAAAATGTGTAAATGTAATTAAAATAAACAGACAGCCCACTTCCCTATTTTGCGGATTTTGGAAGATGTGTGATAGGCTAAATGTTGAAATTGTTGTCCAAATGCTAGAGCAACACACGCTAATCCAAATGTAGATTTTTTTTCCCTTTAAATGACACTGTCTCTTTCTCTCTCACACATAGGCTAGTTATGAACACCTTAGACTTTTAAGGATTGTGCTTTATTTTTAAAGTTTGTGGGTGAGAATCGTGCAAAAAAAAAAAATCCCTTATTTTGGGGATGGATTCCGGGAAAACTCCCTTATTTTCAATGTTCAATGTTGACAGCTATGCACGAGGTAGGAATCTATGTTTTGTTTTAGACATTACCCTATAATCTGTTATGTCCTTGAGGGAAGTTCTCAGATTTTGCTCTAATTTCCTTATCTCTGTAAGCTTTTGTGGAAATTGAAGCATAATTGGAACGTTTTACCACTTTGTTGAATGCAGGTCTGTTGTTGTGGCTGCATCGATTTTATATTTATCTGCCCCTTCACACACTGATCAACAACAGTTGGTCTTTCTACATGTTTATCAGAAGGCATTTTTTTTTCTATCTAAGTGGGCAGTACTTGGCCAGAATAAACTATGCAGTAGATTTAGAGAGTAGAGTTATGCATCAGTAGAGTCAAAAATCTCGATTAAATCATAAATATTATTTGCCAATTCTGTTATTTAAATGACTTGATTGAATTAATTGCATGATTAATCAAACTAATCACAATTAATCACATTAGTGTTTTCTAAGAAACGCCTTCTTGAATAAGGATCATTCAAAATTCAAAGATGTTATTGTGGCAGATGAGTTGAATAGACATTAGAAGGCAATATATTGTTTGTTTATTTTCATTGTTGGCCTGCAGTCCACAGAAATCCGTAATGCATTCGGAGTTAGTCCATCCACCCTTATTTCTTTCGTGCTGTCGGCTTTCAGTAA